CCGTAGTGCGAACTTTAGATCCATTACCAACAGTGATATAATGTGGTGAAAATAAAGCTTGAGAAGAGACATGAGAAAGAGTACCTGGGTTTGAGGCGATGTGGTGTGTGGCACCGGTATCCATGAGCCAAGTGGGTTCTCGGAGTGACATGGTGTCAAAGCTGTGGGCTAGGGCTGTGGGTGTGGGGGGTAGGAGGGGGGGTAGGCTGCGGGTTGGGGTTGGGGTGAAACTGCCGTAAGGCTGGGGTGAGGTGACGGGTAGGGGGGCAGGGCTGGGGGTTGGGTAGGTGTATAGTAGGCATGGGCTTGATAGGGTAACGGGTAGGGGGTGGGGTTGGGCGGGGGGCCTAGCACCCCGGGGCTAGGGTTTGGGTAGGGTGAGTTCCAGGAATGTTGGGCGTCTGTAGGTGGTCGTTGTCTCGAACCGCCGTTTGAGCGCCCTCGACCGCGACCCCGATTGCCGTTGCCACGCCCTTGTCCACGTCCATAGCCGCCACGCTGTCCAGAGGAGGAGCCATCGCCATAATTGACGCCAAAGATCCGGTCTCCGCTGCCGCCGTGAGGAGGGCCGCGACTGCCACCGCCGCCGAGCTGGTTGCCGCTGAAGCTGCCGGCGCCCCGACCTGCCAGCAGTGCCGTGCTGCTGGTTTCGCCCAGTGGAGTCCTCTGTCAGTCGAGAAGGAGAAGAGCCGACCGCACTTGAAGAAAATTCGGCAAAGGATCCTGAAATTGGAGAAACGTCGTTTGGGCTTGTAAATCGTCGGGCAGCCCGCGCAGCATCTGGAGTACTAGTTGGTGCTCAGACACAGGAGCATCAACGTCATCTAACCAATCTGCAATATTCCTGAGCTCTTGACAATATGCAGCCATAGGTGTAGATCCTTTGACGGTGGTGCGAAATTGATGCTCGAGTTGCATGGCTCGAGCGTGCTTATTGTCGTGAAACAAATCATGAATCATCTTCCAGAGGGCAGATGCAGTAGAGACAGAAGAGAGAACAAGATCAGACACCTCATCTGTGATGGTGGAGAGAATCCATCCCTGAAGAATAGCATCAAGTTGGAACCATTCGTCGTCGTCGTCGGAGATGGGAGCAATAGAGCCATTGAGATAGCCATGGAGATTGAACTGCCGTGCTAGAAGGAGAAACAAGCGGCTCCACTTTTTATAGTTTGGTTGAGAAAAACTTAGTTGAATTGGAACATGAAGTTTGACATTTGAGACGGAGAAAGCAAGATGGGGAGGTTTTGGGCTAGAGGATTGAGATGTGATCTCACTGTCCGTCATGGTGTGGCTCCGATACCATGAAGAATTGTATTTTCCTTGAATTTAATTATGTGAGGAGTACATGTATATATATACAATATCTCAATCCTAGTTATGGTAGGAGAGGTATTCTAGGAAAGCTATACAAGTATGGAAACAAATCATAATACAATAATATTAAATATATTTAATATATTTAACAGACATCTTTATTTATGCATTTGGCTGCTTTGATATAAGTATTCTTCATGTATAAGAACGAATTTTGATAATCAATTAAATAAAAATTCAATTCCATAAATTAAAATTTAAATAAATTGTTCCACTGTATAGATATGTTGATAAAAAATTATTCAATTTTTATTTAACTGTTGATCATAGTTTGTATAATTCATCTGAAAAATGTCAAATTAGACATATACTCTTGGACAAAAGTAGTGCGGAGTATTTTTCTCTTACTTTTACCTTCTTCTATCTCCATTGCAAGAGTAGAAACAATGATTTCATCCTTAGTTGATGGATATACAAGCCACCCAATTAAGTTAAATGGATGGAAAAAAATATGCTTGATATACTTGGATGAAAATTGATGAAAATCACTTAGTCCCCACGTCCTAAATTTCATATATTTTTGTGTAAGGTTTTAATCCTTATTCTAATAGTAAAATTTGCACTGAATAGGATTAAAATATAAGTCATTTCCAATGTAAGACTTAAACTTTATTATTCCCAAAAAAAGTAAATTAATGTTAATATACTAATATACCAATATACTAATCTGCCCAAGTACTTAATGTTAATGAAACTTACGCTACACCAACAAAAGTACGGGCCGGCTGCATGGCTAGTCTATTACTCCCTCCATTCCATAAAATCCTTCCCCTTTCGTTTTTTTTAAATTTCCTAAAACACTTTCATTTTCTATTAAAAAGCCACTTTTAACTCTACTTTTTCATACCCTATCTATCACATCATACTTTCTTACTAATAACCAAACTATCACATCTTACTTTTACCCATCACACCAGGAGCAAAATTGGAGAGTCAACCAAAATTATACTTTCCTTATTTTTGCCCAAAGTCTAAATAGCAAGTGTTTAAAGGAACGGAGGGAGTATTTGAGTAACCATGGAGAACCCTAACCCACTAGTCCACCACTACCCATTTTTCGTAAAATTAATAGTTTTTGCCCTCCCTAACTCCCACCCTCCCGGTAAATCCCACTCTGCCTCGATACCAACTCATCCCCGACTCACATCAATTGCATTCCGCAAGTTTAATTGACTTTGGAGTCAAAAACATTGACTTCAAAGTCAACTGAACTTGTGGATGCAATTGACGCGGGTGGAGAATGGGTTTGGCTCGAGACTAAGTGGAGAGGTTTCTTGGGGGAGGGGTTAGAGGGTTAGAAATATTAATTTTACAAACAAAGCATCGAAGGTGTCCCAATTGAGACAATGTTCTCCGTAACTACTCAAATAGAGTGGTCATGGAACCGACTCGAAAAAGTAATGGTGGATAATTTTATGTACTTTGATTGTCAAACAAATAAATATTTTTCTAATGTAAGAGATATTTTATCATTATTACTATTCCTTGAAAAAAATTATTATTAGTAATTTTATGATAATTTGATGAAATGTTATTCCTCACAATTTAAAATTGGTATTTATTTCGTCAACTTAATTTGCATCTGTTTCAATCACTTGCAAGTTACGGAATACGGATGCATCGAGCAATGGATGATGTGTGTAGTGGCCGGTAATAGATGGATCGAGTGCTTCTTTGGTTCATCATATTAATATTGTATTGTGGACCTTCTCACATAAAAGAAGAATTTAAATTTTTTTTTATTTGAAAAAATAAGTGCTTATTTAAATAGTAAAAAAATAATTATTTTGTTCATATTTAGATTCATGATAGACATTAGGTCCACCATAGAATTTGGCAATCGTATAGTTCGGATAATTAATTCGTTTGACGTGTACTTTTTTGTAAATAATTCTCCAACCAATTTTTCAAATTAAAAATTAGTGTTAATGTTTTCTTACGAAAACGGAAGAGCTTATTATATACTCTCTTCGTCCCGTTTTAAATCGCCTGTTTTGACATTTGGGCATATTTAAGGAAAAGAAAAAATAGAGTTGATTTTTCGTAATTGCAATTACTTTTTAGGAGGGGTGACGATGAATGAGAAGATAAGGTGGAGAAGAGTGACTTATTTTAGGGGTAGTTTAGGTATTTTACTCTTAAAAGTTTACGATAACAAGTAACAGTCAATTTATTTTGGGACGGAGAAAAAAGGCAAACCGATAATTTAAAATGGGACAGAAGGAGTACTCCTTAAATGGAATACATATTCTCTTGTTATATTTTTATTAATTGAATATATTCTTATCTTGTAATCTTAGAAGCAAATGGATGTATACCCAGGACCTATTTCACGAGATGTTTTAGTTTTTGAACCCGGAGAGCATAGGTGTGATGCGGTCTGGGAGAACGAAGAATATGCTAAAATTGTACTCCCCCCGTCCCAAAAAGATTGGTACATATTGACTTTTTGGGAAATTAAGGTAGGGATATTTTGGTGTTGACTTTCCAAAAATACCCTTGATGTGATGGGTAAAAGTAGGATGTGATGGGTAGGGTATGAAAAAGTAAGAGGTAAAAGTGGTTTTTTAATAGAAATGTTACGGACTTTATGGGACACAGTTTTTTCGAAACGTGTCGGACTTTTTGGGACGGAGGGAGTATTAAAGTGTCATAGGAGTACTTGTACTAGTTTATATACGCAGGCTCTTATTGTTAATAGACCGGTTTGTGTGGTTGAGATTTTACGAGAATACGAATTTTAAGGGGTTAATAAGGTTGGTGGATTGCAGTTGGATTGGGTTTTGATCACTTCTTTAGTGGAGAGGTGGAGATCTGAGACCCATTCATTCCATCTTCCCTTTGGAGAGGTGGGAATATTTCATATTTGCGACGGAATATAACCCGTCGCAGGCCTATGAATTAAATTGACGGTCAACTTTTCTGAGACAGAAACAAAAATCTGTCGCATGTTGCGACAGAATTAAGTAATCCGTCGCAGATTTCGTAATAATTTAAAATAATTTAACTTTCGTCGCAATTTCTATTGTAATGTGCAATGGGCGGGTTCCGTCGCAGTTCTTCCATTGCAAATTGAGCTAATTCTTGTAGTGTACTTGGATTGCCCGTAGATGGCATTCCTTTGACGGGGATCACTAGCCAATCTAAGGATCAGTGGATTCAGATATGTGAGGACATGATAAGATTTAGACCTCATACATATGATATTACGTCTTCTATGATTTAGATGTCTGTAATTGTTCTTAAGCAATTAACAAATCATAGTGGAGATGTAGATTACTTACAACATGCTAGAGCTATTATATTTAAGTTCTTGGGTGGTAGGCTACTCCAAGTCTCCGATTGATTTTATTTGAAAAATTACACATTTGAAATACATATAAAGGAACTAGACGCAATGGATTGACACAGGAAAATGCAAAAAATTGCTGGCAGGTACCTCCAGTTTTATGATAAGAACTATCGGGTACCCTTAATTATAAAAATACACTGTCAGGTACCTCAAATTATTCGAAAAATGTATCAGCAGGAGCCATCGGTCAATTCCTCCGTTAATTTTAACTTCATGATCATCATCATCATCCACGTCATCATCCTCATTTGATTTCCCTCCTCCAATCCAGACCCCAACCCTCCCTTTTTTTCTTTTTTATAATAATTATTATTAATAAAATTAATTATTGTTTTACTATTTTTTTGAGGAAAATATTGTTTTACTACTCCGATTCTAAAAAATACAGTACTAATGCCCTACCAAAAAAATTATATACCCCTAATAAGCTTTCTCAATCTCTACTTGGGTAAAAAGAGACTAAAGTATTTTAATCTTTAATAAAAAATTAGTTTTAATGATCAATTTATGTACTCTCTATGTACCAAATTTGATTTCAAATTAAAATTTACGAGGTAATATGCCGTATCTTTTGAAATCATTTTATTTACAAATTGTTACATCAATAAAAAATAAAAATTACATATTAAAAAACTACATCAAAAAATCTACTCCCTCCGTCCCAATTTATAGTGCTTGTTTACTATTCACAGGGTCAAACTTCATTCGCTTTATTTCTCTATTTTTGTTAACAATTTGATAAAATAAAGTACTATTGTCACTATTAGTTTTGTAGATCTTTTGATGTAGTATTTTGATATATAATTTTTATTTTTTAACTCTATATTTTATTTTATCAAATAATCAATGAAAATACACAAGTAAACAAAAGTTATCGAGCGGTGAGAGAAAAAAAGATTGAAATCAAAATTGGAAAGAAGGGGGTATAATTTATAAATTTAAAATTGTTTACTCCGGTATTTAAAAAATACTCCGTATGAGATTTTACACATTATTTGAAATTTATTTGCACTATTCTAACAATGTCTAGAATCTCATATTTTTTAAATATGATTTTATCTATAAATTAGTATAAAAATCATTTTGGGACATACATAGTACGTAATAATTTACAATAAAAAGATAAAATTTAACGCTGTGTATTTTAATGACGGAAAGAGTGTTAAATTTTATTGACAGAAATTTAACTTTTGTGGTGTTTAATGATAGAAATAGTGTTAAATTTCATCTTATTATTGTAAATTATAACGTACTGCATATATTATACTCCGTATATAATTAAATACCAGAGTAAACAATTTTAAATTTATAAGTTATACATAAATTGATCATCAAAATTTATTTTTTATTAAAAATTTAAAATACTTTAATCCTTAATTAGCCAAGTGGAGATTGGGAAAGGTTATAATATTAATATTAATATTAATATTAATATTAATATTAATATTAATATTAATATTAATATTAATATTAATAACAATAAAAGAAGAAAAAAGGGGGAGATGGGGGGTCTGGGGAAAAGAAGAAGAATGAAGAAGATGATGATGTATATGATGATGATGAAAACAACGGAACAATTGACGGAGGTCTCTTGTTGGTAAGTTTTCTATTCCATCCGTCCCAAAAAGATCTTCATGTTTCATTTTTTGTGCATCCTATAAAACACTTCTATACACATCTAAAATGCCTAAAATTTACCACATTTCTCATTTATTGCGGGTAGAAGTTGTTTTAAAAGTATTTTTTGCATTTGAGGC